TTAAGCTTAAATTAACATTTAGCTTGAATGCAGAAGTAATGTAGGAAGTAAAATGAAATTGTGTAGACTATTTGAAATCTGTTCTTCCTCATAGATTCCTTCCTGACTTGGAAGACTGACTAAGGAAAGTAGCTCTTCAGGCACTGTACATAGTCAGGAGAGAGTCAGTTATCTACAGAAGAAGTGCAAGTTCCTAACCTGGGCATTTAAGTGTTTAATGTTAAGTGTGTGAATATATTTACCTCCTCATCCCTCTCTATTAATAGTTTAACTGACAAGAAGTTGTTCCTTGTGCCCTTTCCATGCCAGAAACCAGGGATTATGAATGCCTGGGAAAGGAATTTCTCTCGGACTAAGGGAAAAACATGGTCCATGGAATATAAGTCAGTGGTGGTGTGTTCTTTTGCCTCTTGGTGATTTGTTCTATATGACTGGTGTTCAATACACTTGTCTCATCTTTCCTACCTGTAAAAGAAATACAGTAATTTATAATCACATTCTAAAATATGTCTTAATTTTGGATAACAAAGTCTTAATTATATAACAACTACCATTATTTCATTCCCAGCCCAAATATCCATCCATAGGGGCAGAGGAAAGTTATTGTTACATATTTCTAAATAATGTGAGTACTAGAAAAAAAAGGACAGCTTAAATTAAGATACTTTTGAAACTTTACGTGCATTTCCATTTTCATATCTAATATGAAATGTACTTTCACCGAGATGAAATTTAAGTTGCTATAGCATATTGAAACAACTGCATTTGTAGAGAGTACGAATCTAATCAAGCTACTTACAAAATTGTACAATGCCTTTGTGCAAATTTTAAACACCATTAAGGTATTTTTCATTATCCCTTATTCCATCAGTGGAAGAATGTCTCATATTACTGTACAGGTTTCCTCGTTAAACCTCAGCAACACTCAAGCAACATGTAGGAACTCAAACAGTGTGAGGGCATGTTGAATGAAGTGCAGTGTTCCATAAAAGAAGTACATTGTATAGAAAAAACATATAATGTGTTGCTAATCTGTAACACTATCTGTAAACAGAACAGACTGCATCATGAAGGGATGCCAACTAGTTATTGTTGAATTTAAGCACAGATTACTTTATATTTAAATATTTATCATACTTCATGATAGAAGATTAAATAACTGGCTAAACCATGCATCAATATTTTACTGAGTTCATGTCTCCATAGCTAATGCAAAACTTCTTATGCAGCGGGTGTTGTATAAAGATGCAGAGATTACATGCCTTTTATCTGCATTAGGTACATAATACAAATATTGCCTGAGCTGATTTTAATTGTCTTTCTCCATCATATACTGGTACTACTGTAATTTTCTTAATGCAAAATGTAGAAGAGAGATGCAAATTTATTGTCTGTAGCACTCAAGCTATGAAGGCAAAGTGATCATCAATAAAAGAATTTAAATATATCTGTTGTATACTATGGGCTGTGAAAGCTCCTATCTCACAAACCAGTAAGCATGGTCCTCTAATGAGGAAAATCAGTTCAGTTCTCTCTCCTTTCATAGAGCTATCTACCAGCACAGAAGATATGGCCAGTAGCCTGTGGCAGTGTCCTGGTGGCTCCTTCTTTAGCAGTATTTTTCCAGATGCTACAGCACCGACTACACCTTTCAGGGCTCTCTGGAATAGTAAGGTTTATTTTATCCCCGTCAGCCTCCTCCTGGAGATGTATTCCCTGGTGTTCACTTCCAGGTTGCATTTTAATTGTTATTCAGCACTGTGGCTAAGCATTTGTGGCAGGCTTTTTTTTCCATGTTCCATATTCCTTCTCATTTTCTTTCCACTCTATACTGCAGTTATTTCTTTGAAGAAAAATATTACTCAGAAATGCTTCCATGTACAACATTCACACTATCCATGCCATCATCTTTTCTTGGAAGAATACCTTCTATAATGCTAATAAATAGCCATTCTAATAGAATGAATAGACAGCTCATTGCCTGTTTTGTCTCTGCTTTGCTTACAGAAATGAGCCTCAGATCATACTTCTCACTAATTCTGGTCTATAACACATTAAATTGTTGATGAATTAAATAAAATCTATCACAAGGATAGCAACATTTTTTCATCTGAAACACCCCTGGTATAAAAGTCTTTTTTTTTTGTCTTTTTTTTTTTTTTTGCATGCTGTTGCAATGTGAAGATTGCAACTGATAATGTTTTGTTTTCTGATGTTTTCAAGTTTTAATTATTTAATATGATCTCCTCTCTTTGCCCCCTTCACACTGCTTAAAATAGATCACTGTGCTGATTGAATATGAACATACTAATGTATAATGCTGAGGTTTCAAAAAGATCTTAATAGCCTTTTATTTTTCTCTTTTTTAAAAATTGTGGACAGCAGAGCTGACTAAAGGTGTTCTAATGTGATAAGAAGCCTTTGATACCAGTTGATAGTATTTAAGTTCTCTCCAGATCGCCTGTTTTCAGAAGAATCTCTTTGAGTGGCTTTCCAATATTCACAGCTCCTGCATTGCAAATTACCATTTATATTACTTAATGTTAAAGCATGTATCATACGACAATTAAAATTGAACATTTTCAAGTATGATTGGTTAATAGCACTATACTGCTATGACTGGAAGTACTACTTTTGAATGTCAGAAAACACACAGTGAATTAATGTACATGAATAACAGATTGAACATTAATGAAAGCTGATTTGTTTACTTTTGTATTCAAGGTGGAGAGTAATGTAACAGTCGTTAAATATTCCTAGCATGCTTCCATTTAAAGCAAAAGCCTGAAAGCAATTATTTGGCATAATGCATACTAATAAAGAAATCCAATGACACAGTAAATAATTATTTGATTGCAAGAACAATTCTCTAGCCTACGTTTGCAGAAAACAGTAATATTCTCCAGCTCTCCCTTACTAGCCCATGCCATTAGAGCTTGTGATGCTGATGGGGACAGGGTGCAAAGTTACAGAAAGAGGTGGTCTGGCCACTCCTCACCCACCCTTGCACACCTGCCCTATTGGAGACGTAGGCATAAGCACATATCACAGAATCACACAAAATCACAGAATAGTCATGATTGAAAAGGACCTCTAAGATCATTGAGTCAAATCACCTGCTGCATCAAAAGATTAAACACAGGGAATCTTACTGTCCTTAATGCAGCTTCCTTTAATGATGGGTTACACTGGAAAAGGAATTGTCTGAAATCACTGTGGTCCCTAAGAACCCCTTTTGGGTATCACTGGCTGTTGGAGCAGGTGTACACCCTCTGTCTGTGGTGCAACATCAGGTTCTGCATGGGCAAGGCTTTGGCACTTCAGTTTTGTGTGTGCAGAAAACAGAAAGCACAAAGCAATAGGAAAGTCTGTGGATCTCTGCAAATAATGGACTCCTTTTCAGGGCCACACTGTTTCCAATTTATTTTTTCAGTATTGTCATTTGATATACAGACTCAGTTTAAATTACAAATGCCTCTAAATATTCTCTTTTTTTCCCCTTATCTGGTAGAACATTTATGAAGTCCAACTGAAAAAAGCATATTGGGTTAAATTAGATAATTAATAAATTACCATTATTATATATTTTATAGTATTCAAATAAATGTTTATTAATTTATCTGCATAGCAATGGCCCCTGAATCTAATCATACATGGCCTTTGCTATTTTTAGACTGTATGCCTTGGGCAGATGCTCAACAGGGTAAAAAATCTGGTTTAGCAATGGAATCTGTAATCTGTGCTTGAATATCACTGCACCATTATATTTGCTCTGCTGTAGGTAGTTTTTTAAGTGTTTCAAGAACTCTTCTCAAGGCAGCATATGAGTACAGCAATGAGATTTATGACTAAATAATTAGTGAAAACAAATCAATGAAACTATAAAATACTGGTAGCAGCACTTAAATTACAAATGCCAACAGCAGCTCCCAGCATTGAGGAAATAAAGAATAAGGAGAAGGAAGACAACCAGTGACTGCAGTAAACTCATTTGTAAAAGGCAATTATCTAACCAGAGAGCTAGCACCACATTCTAACTAACCTGTGCAAATGAAAAGGATTCCTTAAATGGACACTAATTACAGTAACCATTGCCAAATACAAGGATGCACATATAGACCCATGTGTATGTATATATGTCATTATCTGAAAGAGCAGCGAGTATCTTAAATTGTCTTAAACGTGCATTACTTAGTGTTTTGGGCTTTGTCTAGAGCTATCTGTTGAGATGTACTGGGGCTGCTGTCTCACCGTACACGCAGGTTTCCTTACAGGACCCCTAAACTACACCCGTGTAGCCACTGTGGTTGTGTCTGACTTGCCTGTCGTGACAGGTCTGCTCTGACAGCTTCTCATCTACTACCACCCCCAAGTCCTTCTCCGCAGGGCTGCTCTCCAGCCATTCTCCCCACAGCCTGTATTTGTGCCTGGGGTTGTGCTGACCCAGGTGCAGGAACCTGTACTTGGCCTTGTTGAGCTTCATGAGATTTGCACGGGCCCAACTCTCCAGCCTGTCAAGGTCTCTCTGGCTGGCATCTCCTTTCTCTAAGGTGTCAACTGCTACACACAGCTTGGTATTGTCAGCAAACTTGATAAGGATACACTCAATCCCACTGCCCATGTTTCCAACAAAGATGTTAAGCAGCACTGGTCCAAATACTGACCCCTGCAGAACACCACTCATCACTTGAACATCAGCTGATGTTTTGCAAAGCAGCAATGCTGAGTACTCAGTGTTATAAAATATTTCCTTCTTAGTTGTCATTTGAATAATGTGGATTTATTCTAGTGAAAAGGATACATTTGCATTCCTCACAAAACCTGAATGATAAGGGGAATGCACAAGGAGGATCTGTTTCTAACTACCTGTTGCAGCCAAGGAAGAGCCCATTACTTAGATTTTCTTCAGTTCCAATATTTGTACTGCATTGATTGAATAATACTGTAAAACAAGAATGTTTATCAAAGGCCAAGAAGACAAGTCTTGCTTTTTCTAACCAATGGAGGTCAAAGTAATAGAGGTAAGCAGATATTAAATACCCCTATCAACAAAACTGGGTGGGAAGCAGGAAAAGAGAGGACCAACAAAACCCTCACCTGTTTCTGTAATTTCCTTCAGTTTATTACACATCCTTGCTTCTAAAGGAACGTGCTTCTTCACACTGATGTTAGTCACTGAATAACTCCCACACAAACCCAGCAGTTCGCTCCCCTTGCTTGACACAGACCTTCCACCTCTGACAGGACAGGAATTCCACACCCGCAGGAGGGGCAGCCTGGATACCTTCTCCTTGCAGAGCAGGCAGGCATTACACACCTGCTGACAGGGCAGGGCAGGGCAGGGCAGGGCAGGGCAGGGCAGGGCCAGCAGCGACCCGCTCCCGTCAGGCGAGCGACCATCAGCGGGGCCGGCACAGGCCGCTCTAACGGCCCAACAACGGCCCAACAACGGCCCAACAAC